CTGAGTGTACTCCCAGTGTAGAGTGAGTCAGTCCTGAGTGTACTCCCGGTGTAGAGTGAGTCTGCCCTGAGTGTACTCCCAGTGTAGAGTGAGTCAGTCCTGAGTGTACTCCCGGTGTAGAGTGAGTCAGTCCTGTGTGCCTCAGTGTATTGTGTCTGCGTGAGGCATAGTCCTGTCCACCAGTATCTCATTGAGTAACGTACAGAGCCCTGTGTTCACCTCTTATTTAGGAGCAGCTGATCAAAGAGACCGGTCTTAAAAAACAACAGATCTGCAACTGGTTTGCAAACTACAGACAGCGAGAGAAGAGAGTCACCAGTCAGCGGGAGCCGAAAGGGGATCTCACACCCAGAACTACCTGTCACAGCAAAAAGACCCACAGATTGTTGACACAATGCCCAGAAATATCCTTTAGGGGCAGCAGCGGCCGTCTCCCTCGCTCAGGTCAGTCACTCAGTCATCTGGTTAGAGCAGCACTTCCAACTTTCCCAGTCAAAGTAGTCTCCCAGTGTGGTCAGGATCTCACTGGAGACAGACTGCGAGCAGCGTTGTTATAATGTTCACATTCTCTATTTGGAGTGAGCCAGAAGTTGGCGTTAGCACGCAGGGAGGCCATTTAGCCTCTCTAAAGCTGTGCTAGCTCTTTAATAGAGCTGTCCAATTGAGTAAGGCACCCCTAACAATGACGTACAGAACTTGGCAAGTGAGCTTAGTGTGGCTGTGAGCCTTCACAGCTCCTCAGCCATCTCTACCGACTCACTATAGAGAAATACAGCACGGAAACAGACCCTTCAGTCCAAGATAACAAGGTGTAGAGCTGGATGAACACAGCAGGCCAAGCAGCATCATAGGAGCAGGAAGGCTGACGTTTCGGGCCGAGACCCTTCATCAGAAATGGGGGAGGGGAAGGGGGTTCTGAAATAAATAGGGAGAGAGGGGGAGGCGGATGGAAGATGGATAAAGGAGAAGATAGGTGGAGAGGAAACAGACCGGTCAAAGAGGCGGGGATGGAGCCAGTAAAGGTGAGTGTAGGTGGGGAGGTAGGGAGGAGATAGGTCAGTCCAGGGAGGACGGACAGGTCAAGGGGGCGGGATGAGGTTAATAGGTAGGAGATGGGGGTGGG